CCTACAGATGCTACACTACGCTGCCAATTCCATGTGGTTTTACTTGTTAGTAGCACGGTCTCCTTGAAGCTCCATTAAAATTAGTCACACACAGAGTAACAAACACGTTTCCCTGACGTTGGAATTTTGTTGTCACTATTTAGAGTTTCCTTGTAATAAAATGAGAAATGGCAAGTACACTCTGCCACTTAATTCAGATCATAAACCAAATCTCACTTAAGTCTATGAAACTAACAACTAGTATGGTAATTCTGAACTTCCAAACATGAAGTGACTGGGATACCTGCGCTTCCCATGCGATCTGCCTCACCGACCACCACATGTACACAACAGCAGAAAGCAACATAACCTGCTCAAAGAGGACCTCAAAAATACATATAAAAAGGACACCCAAGTGAGATTGTCTATTGTTCAACCACATACTTTCCCGGCTGAGGACACAGCCACGGAAACAAGACAAGACACAACCCTCTAGACATTTCCTATTTGAGAGTCTCAGTGGAAACATCAGGTATCTATGTCTAAGCAAAAAAATAAAAGTGAACTATTAAAAATATGATGCTCAGAGGAGCCCTGAGTCTCCTTACATCCTGAGACTGAGTAGGAGTCCAACCAAGTCCCCAGAGCCAGTTACAGTAGCCCACAATGGTGTCCCCCAGATAATTATTCAGGGGAGAATCATCGGAGTGCACCCTGCTTGAGCTCTGTGTCTGATGTTCCTTCGCATGGTGACGGTGACAGTAAGCCCAGAAAGCGTTGAAATGTTGATTTTACACCAGTCACTGCCTAACCACCTTCTTTGGGCAGATCTCCAGCTGCTTCGTGTTTACACAGGTTAGACCAAACAGAAAGAATTCACCAAGTGCAATAGCTGTCCCATGTGAAGTAATCAGAACGTCCTGCAGCTGCCAGAACACAAAGGGGCTCACTGCTCACACCCCTGCCTCTTACCTGCCTACAGTCAGTCACAGCCCCAGAGCTCTGTTCTGAGCCGCTCACGCCTGGCTTTTGAAGCATTCATTTCATTTCCACTTCAGGAATACCACGAAGCAGGTGAGTGGGCCACTTCAATGATTTTGTTTTTCCTCAAATCATCTCTCAGTCTAAGATGCTCTGTGTACAATGGAATTCCTTCAAGCAATATTTCAGTTATATTTCCACACACTCAACGCTGCTACTCGCTGATATTGCTGCAAGTCCGTTTTTGTAACAACATACCACACTCAAAGTAAAGTTTAGAGCCTCTCAAACAAAATGATCAGATTTCATCACGAAAACCTGGAACAATTCTCTAAAAAGGGAGTTTTCATGTAATGTTTCAACCTTCTAAGCCTCTTTATGTACAACAGTTTTCCCCATAGACAAACCATTCATAAACAAGCCTGTTTTACCTCTGCTGAATAATTGCTGTGATTATTTTTGCACTTCCAAGAGCCACTGCCCAAAACAGGAACATGACTCAAAGAAATCTAGTTTTTCCAGCCCCACTATCCCCAATTACACCTTTTAACCATGAGTTTATCCAGAAACATTTTGACCTGATGACAGTCTTAAAAGTCTTCAGGAGAAAAAAAACACCTTTCTCTTTAAGTCAAAACCATGTTTGTTCTCTCCCACTGCAGATGAAATCCATATGCTTAGTTAGTGGCAATCTGAGTTACTTATTCCTAAGTAAGAAGTTATTCAAAGCACATTTAATGTCACAACCCAACAAGTGACAGGACAACATGGGAATTCAGTCACTTCAATGGGTAAACCACAGTCACGTTATTTACAACTAAAGTACTAAGGTACAGAATAACAAGGAGTGTTTAAAACCTACATAAACATGAGTGAGACATCTTTTTAACAGCTGGAACAGAGACTTCTGAGGCACAGATACATTTGTTGTGACAAGTTGAGAGATACTCTACACATACAGGTAGCCCTACCCAGACAGTAATCTTGTTTTCATAGAATCACAGACTGGTTTGGATTGGAAGGGACCTTAAAGATCACCCAGTTCCAACCCCCCTGCCATCAGCAGGGACACCTTCCACTAGACCATCTCAAAGTCCTCCTGGCTCTAAACAGTTAATCTCACATCTCCTCCAAACCCCATCTGGCCAGTCATATTTCAGATTTTCTCACAAGTCCTTTCCTTGTATGTCTGATTTTACTTCCCACGTTCTGCCCCCCACAATTATCGGTGGATATTTGTTCAGTTAACTTCTCCCAACGCAGACACTTGTATTGTGAGGAATGCTGACATTTGGACAGGGCTCGTGGCAACAACACGGACAATGGAAACTAACAGTCCTTGCTACTGATTTAGTCGAGGTGAACTGAGTGATGTCTTGCTTTCCTGCAACAGCAAGGCTTACTCCAAAGGATTGATTTAAAACAGTAAGTTACAGTAGGCTGTAGCCAACTATTTAAAACTTTTTTTTTTGCAGCAGAAGGTCATGCATTTCTTTATAAATAGCACTGAGAGAAGTGTGTTTATTCTTGTTAGAAAAACTATCGTGGTAGTGCAACGTTTGCATTTGGGTAAGCTACCCACGGGTAAGCTACCCTTTCCAGTTCACCACTGACTATCGCAGGAATCCACAGAATCCTCTCCCTTACACGAATTCCTCTAGCTTCATTTTTAAACTACACAGAAATCTTCTCCTTTTCCCCATAAAATAATAAAGACACAAGACCAAAGAATTAACATCAACAACAAATCTTACAAAGCCTAAGTGGCAGTTTATACGCACTGTTCTCATTTTTTTATTGGCTTAGTTAAGCTAAGGAGCCAGAAAGCAAGTATTTATAGATCAAAGTTTCATCATATCTTCTTTTGTTAGGATAAACAAGCCAAGTTCTTCTAATTTCCCTTTGTCAGATGCACTTGCCATTCATCACTCTTAGTAGTTTTTTTTTCTAGACCTCTTCTGTGTTCATTTTAGCGGATTTGAATCGGATTCCTACCCTACAGCTGTGACAGAGCATATCCTCTGACACATTTAGGATTGCCCTTCTCCCAGCAGCGTTACCCTCAATGCTCGTGTGTGTAGGACCAAGCAGCTGTTGCACGTGTTTCCCAGCTCAGTCATTTCAGGACTGATCACATTTTTTGTTATCACTTCACAAGACTGTAACCTTGTACTGCTCTACTTGACGCTGTTTTTACAGGGTATTCTTGTTCTTCTATGTAAATGCCCTTCCTCTGCTGTGACAATACCTCATGGTTTTTGGTATCTAAAGATCCTACCAGTGCTACTTCTATTAATGAAAATTAACCAAGTTAACCTCCTTTCTTTTCAACACTCCTACATTCTCTCCTTCCCCAATAGCTTCTTACCATCTCATTTGCAAAGTCGCCTCTTCATTTATTCCTCATGTTTCACTAACAAATGCAAACTACTAAATCATTTTTGTCTGGGGAATCAGTTATCTCTTAAAATGTTAATACTAAAAAATTAGTCCAACTCCATCTCTTTCTGGAGAAACAGAGTAACATACCTCTAGATTTATTTCTTTTTACCTTCCTACCTTTAGCCTTTAATTCAAGATGTATTCTCAAGCCGTGCATAACAGATATTTTATCTAAGACATAGTATAGAAAAATTAGCCTTCCGTAAGCCTCAATAACATTTTACTCTCAATTACAACACCCTTGGAATAAGTCAGGTGTTCCTGAAAATCTCCATCCATGTTTCAGTATTTATCCAAGCTAAGACAAGATTTAGTAAAGAGGTACATGAAATATGTTATAGTTCTATAAGGCACCAACAGTTAATAGTTATCCAGACAACTGATGATAAAGAGCATTTCCTCACGGATCATGGCCCGATACAAGAAAGCTGGGGAAGGACTTTTCATAAGGACAACTAATGACAAAACAAGGGGAAATGGGTTTAAGCTGAAAGAGGGGAGGTTTAGATTAGATATTAGGAAGAAGTTCTTCACTGTGAGGGTGGTGAGACAGTGGAACAGGTTGCCCAAGGAAGTTGTGGATGCCCCCTCCCTGGGAAGTGTTCTCGGCCAGGCTGGATGAGGCTTTGAGCAACCTGGTGTAGTGGAAGGTGTCCCTGCTGATGGCAGGGGGGTTGGGACTGGATGATCTTTAAGGTCCCTTCCAATCCAAACCATTCTATGATTCTATGATATGATGCACTAGCTGCAGCCCTCGCTGGCTGCTGCCCACGCTCAGGGTATAAGCTCACAACCAACACAACTGTCTAATGAACATGAATTAACGTTTTCAACATCTGTTGCACCTCCACTCATACAAGCACATGCAAGATAAAATATATAACAGACACAAAAATCGTTAGGGCACAGTAGGGAATGAAATAAAACAATCAGAGATAGAAGACTGCAAGTATGCTTGATACTATTTGTTCATCACCAGCAACCATCCGTAACACACACCTGATTCTGTAATTAGCCATTGCATGAAACAAGCATGTTTATTGTTTGCTCACCGGGGCTGCATTTTCAGAATACAGCTGTGAATGCTGCGCTTGAAGTTTTCCAGGAATAGGATTTATCCTCACACACTCGTTGTTATGATTTTGAGAAAAGTAAGGATACCTTTCTGAAAGGCCCACACTCAAACATACGCTTGCTGAACTGTGGCTCTCCTCCCCCCAAACATGCTGCGTTTTCTCAGGAGCACTATGGCAATGAGGGCTCATTTCCAAGCTGGCAT